GCAAAAAAGCTTCCAGGAGCTAGAAGAAAGTGAAATTAGAGGAAGTGAGTCCAATGCCTAAATAACTCATGATTGTTGCAAGGATAAACAAAGCACAATGCTTTGAACATGACCTCACTATTTTTGCTTTATGATAACATTGATTAGCATTTTTGCAACTTCAGTTGTTTAATTAGGCATTAATGAAATCACAATTGATCTACAGTGCATTTCTGAAGTATGATTCTGATTCAGAGCAAGTATGAGAACTCTCGATAACTGCTGCCCAATAGCTATGGACTGAAAATAGTACATTCCCATCAAGTTTTTGCTCAGCATCTGGCTTCTTTTTGCAAGGATTTGTAATCCCTGTATCCTGGCTCTCACACAACATAATTACATATGGGCAATGATATTCTGGAGCTATGATGGAGTGCTTTTTCCATTCCCTTCATCACCTTGCTTCTTACTTCCCATTTCACATCTCATCTTACAGTCTCATATCCAACAACACGTAATTTAGTTGTCTGGCTTTCTTTGTAGATAGGATTCAAAATCCAGCCATTCCTCCATTGCATTCTTGGCCAGTCATAGTAGTCCTGTATTATATTTACTTATTTTAGTTAATTATCTTGAAATGTTACTTGTTGTTCTTTTTGCATTGACTGCAGTAAACAGATCAAATTGTAAACACACACTTCTATTGTGTGTTAACTTCAGTTATCACATTAGGCATGGCATAGGATAAATACCTTTCATCATCAGCTCTGATAGTGAGGATGAGGAGTAGCTGGAAGGACCACTGGGGGAAATGGAGATCAGAAGCTCTCAGTAATCTCTCCAGTTTAGTTCAGTCACTGTTGTGGGCAAGCCTTCAGCAGTGATAGACACTCTCCAGCAGTCTGTGCAAGCTGAGGCTAAATACAGCAGAACCAGCCAGTGAGGAGATAAACATACCTCCAGCGTTAGAGCACAGAAGGGAGCACACAGAGTTTTGCGGGTGTACATGATTAGCAGAGAAACAAAGCTCTCAACAAGCAACAGCTGGGATCTTAGGATAAAAGTGCTCAGTCTGAAGGCTTGTTGTGGCAGTCAGAATTGTCATGCTGTGACTGAACCCCCACTCTGCTAGTCTTGGATTCTCAATTTTTCAGATCTTGGTTATTGTTTATTCCAGACCTGTAATTATTCATGTAATTCTCCAGCTTAATTCGGGAAATCAAATTTAGACTATGTTAAATTATGTGGCTAGCATGGTTACAGTGATATATGTATTTTTTTGAAAAACACCATCTCTAGTGGGATTTGGGTTAAGGCCACTCAGGGAGGAGAGTCTTACTTCCTCCCCTTCATGGGTTGTTTGTCCACTGAAAACCTCTCACTAGCCAGATGATTATTTTATTGCAATAACACTTTGACAAGCAACTATCAATTGAGAGTAATTTCCATGGAAAGGAGGAATGAAAGCCCTCTGCTCCATGTGATTCTTGATCTGTAAAATAGCCAGAACTAAAAATAATTAAGAAGCATGACCAGTGTTTAACCTTAAGCTAATTTATAGTGATTTTGCCTTCTAGTAATATTTCTCTAAAAAACAATAAAGCTATTGATAAACTATTGACCACATGGGATGATTTCTTGCTCATGTTGTGTCTCATGCCTGGTTTGGAGTTTTAAGGAAACAATGAGGTATTCAGATCCAAGGTGCTTTGATCTACAAATCAAGACCAGTACTTCCTTCTACTGACAACAAAAACTAATTATTGAGTTATCTTTAAGAAATTGGAAAGTAAAGAATTTATCTTTAATGACATCACAACTGTAAAGATAACTAGCTGCTTGACTACTAGTGTATTGTGTTTGTAAATAATTATTCTTTAAATATGTTTCAAGCTTTAGTTCTCTTCCTTCTCCTGTAAGTTCGTATGAAAATACTTAAAATGGATTTGTCAGTATGACTTCTCAGAAGTCTAATAAAATGTTCCAACTTGTGCAGGAGAAGAAAGCATATCAGTAACCCTGTGCTGAGAGTAAATGACTGTGTGGGCTGCTGAAGTTACAGTAGACTAAGTTGACCACCTTCCTTTCTTTGGAAAGGAGCCTTTAGTTGTACTGTAGTGACATGGAACGTACTTTCCTAGAGTGGCTCCAACATACACACACACGTGTGTGTGTGTGTGTGTGTGAGAGAGAGAGAGAGTCTCTGTGTTTGTTTGTTTCTGTGTGTATAGAAATATAGTTATACAGAGGGTGCTCTGGTGTGGGCTGGTCCATGGGGTCTCAAAGAGTCAGAAGTGAATGAATGAATAAACAACATACAGAAAATTGATATTCTGGCCCTACTGATATATGTGTATGTCTGGAGAATTAAGATCCCCTTGGTAAGGTGATAATGACATTGTTGGACTTGTATATTTTTTCTGATGAGATCTTTAAATGTTTGCTTTACCTTTAGTTCATAATGATACAGGAATTTTGCTTCAGAATTTTGACTTTGATGCATTTGAAAAAGATCCTGAGATATTTTTTTGGGGGGGGGGGCATCATTATAAGAGTATTGCAAGTCACTTTAGTCTCCTCCACTCAGAGTAAATACAAGTTAGAAGTGATCACAGTCACTTTAAATTTTTCTAAGTAAGAATCTCCAGTCCTCTAGTTACGGGAAATATTTTCAATTGAACTAAAGGCGTTAAATGTTTGTGTACATAGCTGTTCTGGCATTGAAACCTCTACATTTGGTTTATCACACCAGGAAAAAAGAGCAAAATTAGACAGTCTCATGATATTTCAAAATCTGCCATGTGGTTGAATGACAGCTGGCATTTTCTCTTTTTTCATATTCCAGTGTCACAAAATGTCTCTTTTCCACTCAGTTAAAAGTTTATTGTATACTTCTGCTTGTTCCAGTTTCTCACTGAACTATATTCTCAAAGGAAAAAATGTAATAGCAAGAAACTAATAATAATGACAAAGGAAAAACATAGGCATGATGGTCTTGCTGCATACAGAAAATCTTTCTGCATTATTGATTATAAAAAATTAGATTTTGGTTGTCCTAATTGATTTTTTATTTATTTTTGTTGAACATGTCAATCTTTTTTAGTGAATCGCATCTTACGGTATGCGAAAAACAGCCATCGTTTAATCATCTTTGTTCCTTGTAAGAGTTCAGGCTTGATTCATTTGCATTTTTAACAATACCTAGTATTGGTATTTATCCAGCATCACATTTCAAATGAGTTGGTCTTCTTCCTGTCAGCTTTTTTTGTATTCACAATTAAGAATACATGACCTACCTAGATGATTCTGACTTTGGTAATTAATGCTATATTAATGGATGTACTTGTTCTGGCATTGAAACCTCTACATTTGGTTTATCACGCCAAGAAAAAAGAAAGTAGTGTGTACAATATGTGTATATATGCAATCAAAATGATCATTAAATACAGTATATTGAGACGAGTAAAATTGATAAGCTTTCAATGATTTATAAATACCTTATTTATTCAAGTGAAATTCACTTTCGAATGTAATGTGCATCTCAGTGTTGAAGGCACATTTACAGAAAAATAGATTTACCCTTGAATGAAATGTGCCCAACGACACAGGAATAGTACATCAGGAGACAGGCAGCACAAATGAGACCAGTTGGAAATTGGGTGCGGGGGGTAGGGGGGAGGGGAGTTGTATATTGGAGAAGGGGATTGAACAACTTTTCCATAACATGCTTCTGCAGAAATGGATAACATGCATGGGTTGCACTTCTGAGCACTGCAGCATAGTTATTGGATGAGAAATTGGTGTTTCCTTCTCAATGTCTCCTGCCATCCAATATGCATAAAGATAAATACTTCCTTTTGGACCATTTGATCATTGGGTCAAAACTTTTGAGAATTAATGAACAATCTGTGTTGTTCAATGCAATTTGAGCACTTTAAGGAAAAGGGGGATTTGGGAACACACTTCATTACATTTAGGTGAGTGTGTGGTATAATTTTCTTTTGTTTATAGGGAAAGTTAACCACAGAGCAATAATAAGACTTGCAAAAACATTGTATTATAGTTGGCAACAGAGGTATGTCATCTTTTCTCTGAATCACGAGGACATTTTTTCAGGTCTTCCTCTGTTCTTTCTGTTTCAGTAGTTACTGACAGATAATTTTCTATGAAGTTTTATGTAATAGCAAAGTACTAGGCAATTCAGTATACAATGGAACCTTGACTTAAGGGTGTCCCAACTTAAGAGCCTTTTGGGTTAAGAACCATTGCTTGGCCTGGGTTTCACTTTGACAGACGAGCAGCATTTTGAGTTAGGAACTAGTGTCAGAGGAAGTGCTGGCGTGAGAGTATAGGGCTTTAGGGCTTCAAGGGAGCAGCCTCTGTGCCTCATGCCCCATGCTCTTGTCCAGTTGGTGAGATTGCTGTCTGCTTTGAGGAACTTTGGGTTAGTTGATTTTGTGTGGGTTTTTTCCTGGTATGTTTGGCTTTGTGAGGAGAGAGAGCAAGAGAGGAGGGGAGGTTGGAATGAGTACAGTATGAAGAAAATGATGCTTCTGCCTTTTCACTTTGTGCTTCCTTGCCACAACTTTGTGCTTCTACCAATGTACCACAACTGTGTGCTTCTACCATTTTAAAGTTGATATTTCTTTTTTATTGTTCCATGTGAATGTTCAGGTTTTGCCTTGTTGTTGCACTGACCAACACACATTTTGTTGCCCCAAATGTTCTTCTTTGCCACAACTTTGTGCTTCTACTATTTTAAAATTGATATTTCTTTTTTATTGTTCCAAGTTAATGTGCATTTCTTCATTATTTGTTATTTATAAAGTTTCTTTCTTATTTTAAAACACGTAACAAAAATAATTGGGGATTGGCAGAATGGATTAATAGCATTTCAGTGGGAAAATTTGCTTAGAGCTAAGAGTGATTTGAGTTAAGTGATCAGTCATGGAACGAATTAAACTCTTAACTCAAAGTTTCACTGTACAGCAATATATATCTATTTTCCTTTTGTCTTACAGCATGCGCATTCCGCTACAATGGACTGTCATTTGTCTACCTCATTTACCTCCTGCTTATTCCACTCTTCTCTGAACCTACAAAAATAACAATGCAAGGTAAGCATCTTTTTAGCAGATTTATTACTACCGTGTGTAATGAAATCCTGAGAGAAACCATATATATATGTATGTATGTATGTATGTATGTATATGTATATGTATATGTATTTGTATTTGTATTTGTATTTGTATTTGTATTTGTATTTGTATTTGTATTTGTATTTGTATTTGTATTTGTATTTGTATTTGTGCATGCATGCATGCAACAGAAAAATACAATAATTTAAGGGCAAATGATAGCTTTAAGTGACTTGCACATTTTGATCAACCTGATTGATTTAATCCTTCCTTTTTTCCTTTTGCATTAGCAGTATGATGATAGTTTTTGAGATATAGTTCTCTAACATACACTTCCTGTTGTGTGTATTCCATTACATTAAGTGAACTGAATAGGAATCTGAGGGTTTAAGGGCAATTTATGGAAGATAAAAATTTGAAAACATGGTTAGTGTTTATTTCTAAATGGCTAACTGTGCCCATTTGGGTTTGTGATAGGAAGTGGGAATTGTCAGACAGCCTAACATCTACTCAAAATAATCAATAACACTTAGTAATTCTGAGTCAAACCAATATGCACAGCTCTCTGTGAAAATATATTCAGAGCTGGGAGACATTGTGCATAGTCTGTGTCTGCACACAGTCTACCATAGAAATGAATATGTATTTCTTAAAATAACTTATATGCTTATATGCATCATTTGAGTTCAGAAGGAGTCAGAAGAAAATTAACAATAAATCTGTCCCTGGTATTTCACTTTGGAAGCCCTAGCTCCTACCCACTTTTTTTTTTTTAAAAAAAAAACATGTTTTGGCTAGGGTTTGGGGGGAGGGGAACTGAGTGGTGACATTGGTGTGCTTTGCAGACTCTCCAAAATAAATGAGTAGCCTTCAGTTTTGCCAGCAAAATACCGTGCTGAAAAGGACTGATATGAATTATGCATTACTTTGAAATCTTCAGCGTGTTTGAAATTCAGTCTAAATCTGTCACTTAGTCTTTTTTTAAAATGTAAAATATTAAATAATAGAATACCAGTAAATGTCTAGATGTCAAATTTCATGGGTCTTAAAATGCTAAAGATGACAGATGAGACACTAGACCAAACAGAAGTATGAGTGTGAGTTTCTGATTCATATCCTTCTGCCTTGTTGCCTTCATATGTTTTCCTTTTCTGGCCCTTTCTCTGCCAGAAAGGCTGATTGACATCCATATAGCAATTCTGTGTTAGCAGAAACTACCAGTGCTTGACAGGCATGCTTAATGTTTCAGTGTATTCGTGCTATTTTCTTTTAATGGCTTATAGTGGCTAGCTGTACCTCTAGGGGCCCTTCCACACAGCCCTATATCCCAGAATATCAAGGCAGAAAATCCCACTATCTGCTTTGAACTGGATTATCTGAGTACACACTCGGATAATGTGGGATTTTCTACCTTGATATTTTGGGATATTCTGTGTGGAACGGCCCTAGATCAGTGGTTCTCAATCTTTGGTCCTCCAGGTGCTTTGGACTTCCATCTCCCAGAAATCCCAGTCATCTTACTGGCTCTTAGGAATTGTTGGAGCTGAAATCCAAAACACCTGGAAGATCAAAGGTTGGGAACCATTGGTCTAGATTAGTGATTCTCAACCAATGGGTCCCCAGGAGTATTGGCCTATAACTCCCAGAAATTCCAGCCAGTTTACCAGGTGTTAGGATTTTTGAGAGTTGAAGGCCAAAATACAATAAAATCCACAAAGCAGCAGTAGATTTATTGTGCCAACTAATATGCACACAACATGCCTTGTAAGCTTTTGAAGCTTCACCACCTTCTTAATCAAGCAAAGATATTAAAAATCATACAAGAGAAGAAAAGTGATGACTCTAGAGATATAGGCCTACATTTTATTACTTCTGTTGTCTGTTAAAATGTCCCAGAGGGACCCCAATGCAGGCAGAGGCCATTCCTCTTTTTGGTCATGCGGGGACTAGGGACATGGGGCAGTAAAATACTAGGGTAAAATTCCAGCTTTGTTAGAAATAGGACCCAAGCTATCCCTCTCTGTATTTAGCTAACTTTCCTTTTCTCAGGCACAGAACACTTAATTTCTTAAGGAGTCTCTGTACTGTTACATCTGGAAAAACATTTAGGTACTATATAAAGCCAATTGTAATCAAAATCAAAGAGGTTTGCCTTTGTTGGAGGTAGAAACCTCAAAGAAGTATGCCCAATCCATTGCCTCCATTTCAACTGCCAATGCCAATGGAAGAGCAACTAGCATCTGGTGGACCTGATTACCACTGCTAGTACCATCTCATCTTCTTTATGTGTCTTGTTTGATTTTTTTTAGATCATAATTTTTTGTTGTTTATTTGTTCAGTTGCTTCGACTTTTTGTAACCTCATGGACTAGCCCATGCCAGAGCTCCCTGTCGGCAGTCGCCACCCCCAGCTCCTTCAAGGTCAAGACAGTCATTGCAAGGATACCATCCATCCATCTTGCCCTTGGTTGGCCTTTCTTCCTTTTTCCTTCCATTTTCTTCAGCATCATTATCTTCTCCAAGGTTTCCTGTCTTCTAATTATGTGGCCAAAGTACTTCATCTTTGCTTCTAATATCCTTCCTTCCAGTGAGCAGTTGGGCTTTATTTCCTGGAGTATGGACTGGTTTGATCTTCTTGTGGGCTAAGGCACTCTCAAAATTTTCTTCTAGCACCACAGTTCAAAAGTGTCTATCTTCCTTCACTCAGCCTTCCCAATGGTCCAGCTCTCACATCCATAGGTTACTATAGGGAATACCATTGCTTTAATTATGCGGACCTTCATTGTTGGTGTGATTCTCTACTCTGCACTATTTCATCGAGCTTGCTCATTTTTCTCCTCCCAAGAAGTAAATGTCTTCTGATTTCCTGGCTGCAGTCGTGTGTCTGTAGTAATTTTTCTTGCTAGAAATACAAAGCCTGTCACTGCCTCCACGTTTTCTCCCTCTATTTGCCAGTAATCAATCAGTATGGTTGCCATAATTTTGTGTTTTTATGTTTAACTGTAACCCAGATTTTGTACTTTCACCTTGGTTATAAGGCTTCTCAGCTGCTTCTCGCTTTCAGCCACCAGAGTGGTGTCATCTGCATATCTAAGGTTGTTAATGTTTCTTCCAGCAATTTTAATTCCAGCCTTGGATTTATCAAGCCCTGCACGTTGTATGATGTGTTCTGCATACAAGTTGAATAGGTTGGGCGAGAGTATACAACCTTGCCATACTCCTTTCCCCATCTTGAACCAGTCTGTTGTTCCATGGTCTGTTCTTACTGTTGCTACTTGGTCGTTATACAGATGCCTCGGGCGACAGTATGTAAGAGATAGTAATTAAGAGGATAGATAATAAGATGAGCTGTCAAATTAATGTTTTGAAGGCGTTCTAGGAATCTTTGTGGCTGAAGGTTGGAGTATATACATACGTACATACTGCCGCAGCATTTCCAAGCCTGGTTCCTCCAGATGTTTTTGGATAACACCTTCAGTCACTTCTAACCATTAGTCATCATAGCTGGAGTAGCATACAATAGTTGTCAAGAACGGTTCTGGCATACACTTTGATTAGGAAGCCTGCATTCCATTATTCTTTCTCCGTGTGGGAAGAGCTTTGAAACCCTCCTGATGGTAAGCTATAGCTTATGTCACGTTGACTTGAATAAAACTTATGATTCTCTTCCTGTACATGTGTGTTCACACACATATTCTCTGCCTGTCTCCAAAGGAAACATGAAGCAATGATATTTATTATTGCTAGTTTGAAGTTGCCAAACCTCACCAGTCAATCATAGCCAAATGTTAATAGAGAAACCTTGCTATAATTTGCATTGGGCCTGAGGAGAGGCTTCTAGCCTTCAAATTCTTTTTGTTTTCTCATCATTCTTATTCTTTTCTATCTGATCATATTCAGCCTTTACATTCTTTTTTACCTTCCTGTTTATTAATGCATCTAGTCTTCGTATTTTGAGTCTGTTGGTTGGCTTAATAGAGAGCTATCACCACAATGTTCTTTTCAGATTTTGATATATCTGGATGCTTGGCCACCACAGCTACCCCGGATGTATGTATTTTAGGCTTCTTATAGTTTATGTAATGTAATTCTTCCTTTTACTGTTTCTTTTTTCCTGAAGTGTGTTGCAGATCTTGGAAGGTGATGACACCCCCTCACCTAAATGCTAAAACTATGTTTTTCATTCATTCTCTTCCTTCCTGGCCCACTTTTTCTATTGCAAGCAGATGTTTCCTCTTATTTTCCATTCTACCTGGATTTCTCATCTGTATAGATACTTTTCTCCATATATTTTCCTGTCTAGCTACATTCTTGTAACACTTCTCTCATGTTCACACTACAAATTTCATGACTAAAAGAAGGTAAATGCCACAGGGTTCTTCATTTGACACAATTGATAATTTTCCAGTAGACATCTTTCTTTTAGTATCGGTTATTCCATGATGAGTACAGCCACTAATGATTCATTTAAGCATTGCCAAAGGAAACGATCCCTTTTTTAAAAACACTATTCTATGTGACTTGTATCAAAGTTCTTTAGGATGAGCTTCTGTGAGTATGCTTTATTGAACTCACATTTACAGTGTTACAGTTATGACAAGCATCATGTTCTAGTGGTCAAAGATGTATAGCCATTCTGTAGAACAAAGCGGTCTGCTTTTGATAAGGGGTTGAAGGGAAGACCCAGTGAAGGGCTGGGCGTCTTACACCAGGACTGAGGGAGACCAGCATTCAAATCCCTGCTTACCATGGAAACCCACTGGGTTACTTTGGGCCAGACAATCTCGGAGCTTCTCTGGAAGGCAAAGGAAAAACTCTGTGAAGAAAACCCTGCAATTGCCATAAATCAGGGTTGACTTGAAAGCACATGATACACAAAATGATATAGTGTATATACATGCACAGGGTGAGAGAACAAAAAGTACTTCTAAAAATGGGGGACTATGGTAGAACTGTTGCCAAGCCATGTTAAATTTTCTT